GTGTTGGGTATGGGAGGCAATTGAGACCTATTTTACTATTACGAGTTTAATTAAAACCAGTTATAGTATAATCCAATTATACTACAAGTCCAGATTGGCTGGAGACAAAATCATGCACGTCAGGTATGTGTTTGGTTCCGTTTACATTTATTGAGTAAACGTTGCCACATAGGTGCCCCGTCAGCAAATGCCTCATTAATTGCATCCGTACATATCGATGTTTGCATTGCAAAAGCAAACATCGATTTCTATGCGCCTCTCCTGTTTCAGGAAGCTTCTTTTTGGAACAGGGGCGAAACTAGGATTTTCTTTTGAGGGGGGCCAAAAAGTAATAAACATGGATAAGGGGGCCAAAAATTAGTAAATATAGGTAAGGGGACCAAAATATAAGTAAGGTTAAAATGGGTATTGTATGGATTTTCAAGGCATAGGGGGGCCATGGCCCCCCTCTACCACCCCTGGCTCCGCCCAGCCGCCCCCCTGTTTTGGAGTTTCATGAAATGGGTAGATATTTATTAGCACTTTGCTGATTGTGGTGCCTAATGGTGCCTATATATCATAAATACCCTCATTAATTGCTTTTCTCAATTTTACAGCCACATAAATACAAAACATTTAATGAAAACAAACACCCTATCCAATCCCAAAACATGGATCTCGGGCCCGGGCTTGGCCCAACCTTAGGTTAAAGTCTGTATTTGCTAATAATCTAAGCTAAACCTAACATTACTGAGGTTGAGTTGTGCAGGGTCCTATCATCTTAATTATTGCATGGACCTCTCTTTCTATCCAAGTAGTATAGTATTAATCTCTTTCAAAAAGTTAAAAGTATTAATCATGCATGACCTTATCTCTCTCTTCTCTCAACCTTTTTATAATTAAACTCGGGATACAAGTTGGGTGGGTCTAGATATAGGGCCAATCCAAGTCTAACCAATAAATATAAACTTGGTCCTGGATCCTGGGTCCAGCCCAAATTGAGATCCACGTTTGAGTATACCAACTCAGGCGTAGCCCAAAATAAACCTAATACAACTAGGAATTTGCTCAGACTTATGTGAGTTGGTTGGCCCTAGCCCCTAGGAAGGTTGCTTGGGTTTGAAAGCTTACTAATTCTCATTTTGCACTTTTATCTTTCATTTAATTTGGGCATTATAGTCCAATGTAAGGCAGTGGTGGTGATGGTCTTGGCTCTGAAGTTGAGAAAGAAATGAGAGTGATGAAGAGGTTAGGGTTTGGTCAGGGAAACTTGGTGGAGAAGAAGGATCCTTAATTTATAGAGGAACAACAATATTCATATGTGTATGGAACGAGGGATTCCTGGATTTTACTAAAATGATTGTTCATTCAGGTATTTGAGCTGATTCGATTAGGACACACATCAGATTGTAGAGTTGGATTGTTGTTGTCAACTGCCCTTCTTCTAGGATCTTACCACATGTCGCACATAGAGCGCTTTTGCAGAATTCGCACGCTTGTATGATGTCTTTTCTTTTTATCTGCACGCTTTGACAGTCATGCTTCTGTATATCACAGTCAATTCTTTATTTGCATGGCTACAGTCAGTCTTTGATAATACGGGTCCATCCTTTTACTCATGAACTACCAGAAGTTTCAACCCAAGTCCAGTTTGAAAGCCCATTTGGGTGGGCTTTTGCGTTGATTGAGTAGCTTGAGAGAAGCTTCCAAAACTAACTTCATTGGAAAGTCGATTTCTCGGCTCAATGATAGTATTTTTTGGCTTTTCAGGCTTTTCACCAATGACTTTTCTTATGGGGCCAACACCGGCCAGAAGCCACTTCAGGAAAGCCCTCCCGAACGGACACTGAGTTTATGCTAAGCCCGAGTTTTTAAACCCAGGCCCAACCTTTTCAAACATTTTGGGATTGCTCAGTCAAGCTAGCTTGGACGTGGACCTTCCCAAATTGCAACCCTCCTATGGTTTATGATTAAAAATCTTTGCCGAGTAGTCCACCTCTCTTCAATTTCCATTCACTTCATTAAGTTGTAATGACCATCTACTACTCATCAAGCAAAACTCTCTCTTTTGGCTTGTTTGTAGTTTTGAATTTTGAGAGGGAGAAATTGGTCAATAGGATTTTGGTTCTTATTGACCAAAATGTCCATGTTCTTTTTTCAGATTTATGTAGGGTACACGAAAAATTTATTCTCCCGTGTAAGTGATATCCATCTCTTAGGTGAATAAATAATTTTTTCACCTAGCAACACTTGGATGGGACAAAATTGTCTCTTTTAATAATGATTTTTTATGGTTAAAACAGTAATTGTCTTATTTACTTGGGAAATAAAGGCTCAGTTTGGAAGGAGTACAAATACATAGAGTGCAAAACCTTATATTTTGTATTATTTTGTATGTATTTATATTATACATATTTGTATCTATACTCCTTTCAAACCAAGCCAAAAAAACATAAAAGTAAACAGGGCCTTTTTGTTTTTCTTTCCATTCCAATCAAAATTCAGATACTACAATGACCAGCATTAGATGAAGCTCATGGTAGGATTCTTAGCTTTTTTTAATTTTAATTTTAATTTGTTATAAAGGAAGACTCCTACCATAATTAACAAAAGTAAAACTATCTGTATAAACTGTATAGTTGTTTTTCTTTTCCTCAACATTATATATGGTAGTTCAACACTTCTTATTAGTTGATATTGGTAAGCACTTAAAAATCATTGCTACAAAAAGGCACCATAAACTTTGAACTCTGAATCTAAATCGTTTTCGTGCTTAAAAGAAATCATATAAGTTTTAGTTTTTTTTTTTTTTTTTTTTTTTTTTTTTTTTTTATTCTTTTCTGCAACTGTAATGGTCTTTAGGGAAGCTTGACTTGTCGTGAGGAAAGAAACATGGATCTTAGACTTCTTACTTATAATGCATCATTAGGCATCTTCTTTAATAAGCTAATTCAAACACAAATTACCGCAAATGTTATATGTATGATGTATCTATTGTGATGTGCACTAATATATATTGTAAAAGAAACTGATACACAACCCTGACTTATCACCTCAGATTGATCACAAATCACAGTCCTAGTGGAAATTTTTACAACAAATCCCTTGATATAAAGTTTAAACCATCTTTATCTGTACTACTAATAAAAGAATGAATAAGTTTGTAGAAATTTTCTTCTTAACTGAAATCTCTACAAACATGTTTAAAAGATGAATGCGGCAAAAATTAGAATGCTGAGATGGATGAGTGAAAAAAACTAGAAAGGAATCCAAAGATTGGGTCAGATGTGAAATTGTTTTATGGAACTTAGGCCGTGTTTGGTTGCAGTACAATTTTATTTGCACTATTACAAATGCATAGGAGTGCAAATGAATAGAATGCAAATTCTGGTTTAATTTTGTTTTAGTTTTTATTTTATTCTACACCATGTCTTATTTTACTTCAATTGTATCAGAATTAAACAATATAAGGTAAAATTTGAAGCAAAAATAAATCAAAATTTGCATTCAAATCATTTGCACCACCATAGTTTTGCATCAGTGCAAACACAGCCTTGGGAATATCAGCGTTCCTTTTCGTATGTATATTAATACAACTATACAAGTCCCCTTCTCTCTCATTAATTTCATTAAATTATATTTAGGGCCAAATTACCTCTCATTAATTTTATATTTACTCCTATATTTAAGTATAATTTCTCTCTCATTAATTAGTTAATTACTCCTATAATTAATGCATAATTTTAAATTTCAATTTCAATTTTAGCGCCTAATTGGAATTCTCTTCTCATTAATTTCGTTAATTAATAACCTTCTTTCTCGTTAAATTTGTTTTGTTAGTATAAAACTACAAACTTAGCAATAGCAAGATTTTAACCCTAGCCATTAGGCTTTAACAACTAGAGGTTCACCACTAAGACATGTCCATTTGCTTGCTATAGGTTTATGAATTTTTATTGTTAAGTAAATTTACTTAGTGTATGCTTATCAATAAATGTTAGAATTAATTATTAAAATTTATGTATTAATAAATATTAAGATAAATTATATTGATTATTTTAAAACTAATGTATATCAATATACATTTTGTTTTTTTTTTCACATTTTAGTTTTCCATCATTTGTCAATAGTTACTATGTGTCCCGATATCTCGAATTTTATATAGAGCATTAAATTATAGTTTTTTTTACTTTTAAATAACTTATTTACAACCATATAAAACTTGTAATTATCGTTATTAATATATTTTTTAGGATTTATTTGAGTTTTTTAGCATATTTATGTATATCTTATTTTTTTGTCCGTATCCATATGTATCCAAAGTATATCCCGATATGTCTCTTAAAATTATCTTTCCGATACATCTTATGCTTCCAACACTTTACACCTTGGTTATATGAATAAAGACCATTTTCATTCATCAAAAAAATAAAGAGACAATTTTCCATGATTGTAAGAAAAAACAATCAGTTGCAAGTTGAAGGGAATGGTGAAACCGGATTCATGTATGAAGGTGCAACAAGATTCGGTAGGTGATGCCATATGGTTGAGATAAGGATTAGCGTGTCCATGTGATCATCATCATCTAAACCTTATCCCAATCATATATGGTTAGCTACATTCATGAATCATGATTATGACGGTATAAGTTGTATAACAAAATTTTTAGTGCGGACGCTGTAAGATCCAATAGCCATTCCTATCAAAAAGGTTTTGATAAGAGACTTTTAGGTTATGTTTGATTTGATGGAAAATAACAAGAAAGATTTAAAGACAGCAATGGGTCATAAGATTAGAAGAATTCTTGGTAAATAAGTTTGGGGTTTGCTACAGGTTCAACCAAAAAAATAATTAATTGGGACAGCCAGAATTTATGGCATATTTTGGATTTAGCCAACGCAAAACCTTTAACAGGGCTGAGCAGCGGATCAGGTCAAGAATCAACACCCCATATTCCTGCATCTGAAATAAATTTACTAGTTAGGATTTGAATCAATACTAGTCTATGCTCCTCATCCTATACAAAGAAATACAGGATAGATTGATGGCCTTGAACATCTCGTAAGAGGAAAATATCAAACATCGACATCACAAGAAAATACAAAATGTGCATATGCATATCCTTCCTTGATTAGCGAATGGCTCATATATACATGATGTAAATTATAAAGATTTGTACAGAGAAAATATGGCCTTTTAAGCTTAAACAGAAGCTAGTTTGAGCAGCAACTAAAACTTTGTAGCGACTGCAATCAGATCCGAGAAGCCTGTCACTCCTGAAGGCCAATTTGTGGTCAACTGCTCAAGCATATTGTTACCCACAAATTCCAATTTCAGAAAAAATTCAGGTGGCACAAACTGGCACCTCATAAGTACAGTTAGATGGGACAAGTTCAAGAAGGATTGACATTCAACTCAACCACTGACTCCCCAACTCGATAACGCCTGCTCGTATCCAAATTTGAAAGGCCAATTGAATGTAGCTTCCTCAAGCAAGGGGAATATTACTTGTCAGCGGGTATTTACAAGCTATGAAGAGAGAATGCAAGTTAATGCTCCAATTTACTCATCAAAAAATTAAAGCTCCAATTTGATTTGTGGGTATTCAATAGTTTGTGTGCTTTGTGCGTCACTGTATCCTATCATTTGTGTATTTTGAATGCCCTTGTACCCTATGACCTTTTTGGGGAGATTAGTCAACACAATGTTCCCCCCATTATAGCCATTCATCAGCAATTTCCCAATTTTTGACCTCCACTCTGAACCATCTTTCTCATTTTTCCTGTCATGATAGACTCGATCACAGTAGTTGAGCATAGAACCTAATCCAGTGTTTGGTGTCCAACCGTATTCTTCTAAAACCTTTGCTTCACTCTCAGCCAGATCTTCTCCAACCTTAAACCAAAGAAATGAAACAGAAATAAAATGAAATGTTTAACAAAAAAAATGACAGTTTGATAGATATTTGTAATATCTAAGGAAAGCAGTAGCTAAACAGGGTAATCTACAAGGTACTAAAGTGGCAAATATCATACATGTACAAGGAACAAACATACAAAACACACAATGCATGCTTGCAAACACTTTTTTTTTGGGAAAATGCAAATCTCAGTTTTCAATGATGACATTACAACAGGATAACCAAAAACAGATTAACTGGTGAAAGAAATCCTTAATCTTGCAATGAAGGTATTTGGAAAACAATAGTAAAAGAATGATTGCAAAAAGATTAAGCTGCAAGGGCATTTTTGTACTACTCACATTTTATTAATAAATGAGCATTTTTTCATTCATGTCTTTTGATAAAGGTGGTTTTAAAAACCGACCTGGAACCGGAACCGTTCTGGCCACTGATTTCCGGGTCAAAGGTTAAACTGTACAGTTCGAATGGGCAACCCATTCCAATGAAAAAAATAAAAAAAAACCGGCCAAAACCGTTGAACACAAATGTGTGGGTGCTTGTTAGAGAACATTAATAGAACATGTTTAAAGTTGTCTTTTGTCAATAATTGATTCTATCATCACAGTTGTGTAGATAATCCTTCCGCTTGAAGCATCATGGATACCTTGTGCATGGGCCTCCATAGTTTGGCAGTATAAGCACCTATACCCTAATCAGGGGTATAAGCATGCACAGGCTATGGTAACTTATACATGAAGGGATGTGAATGCACAATGTGGGACCTATCACCCTCCATAAGGATAGAGAATGTTTGTGGAAAGAGATTATCACCATACGAGTCATCATCAATCCAGTGGGACATATAATTGAGCCAATAGGATTTGACATAATCACCATGACTCTCTGCTCTTTTGGGACATTGTATGACAATGGATTTTACTGCATGGTAACTATAGATGGAAAGGTTCAATCTGCTGAATTCAAGCTATAAGGGTAGTCATGACATACTGTTCCCTTGTGAATAGTGGCCTATTATTCACATTCAAGGGAGAATTAAAAGAGTTTTAATTCAGTTCAGCTAGAAGTTGTTCCATTTGGGATGCTAAAGGAGTTTGGCATCATTTGCCACCACTTAATAGTGTTGAACCTAAGAGGTTGCACACATAGGGATAAAACACAAACAAAGAATGAGGAAAGGGTGTAATCACTAAGAGGGGTCTAATTGCAATAATGGCAAACCTTATGAGACAAGTACTCCTAATTGCAAATGGGAGCTTAAATCTATTTAAACAATACATGGGGCAGCTCTAGGGTTTAGCTAAGACTCTCCCATTTCTCTCTAAACCCTAATCACTGTAGGATTGCTAGCACAACTCCTAGTGTGCCCCAACCCTTTTCTCTTTTGGATTGCCATCTACTTTGTGAAAGGGAGCTTTTGTCTATTGCAGCTTCGTGTGGACTGATTTAGGGGCCAAACACTTGTGAGGTTGCAGATTTGAATCAAGACAATCTTCCAGACCATCAATAGCACAACTACAGAACTGCCACCATCATAAGAAAATTCAGTAACTCCTAAACTATTTAACCAATGACTACGAAATCTTAAACACAGCTAATGACTAGACAAATCAAACTACTAGACTAAACCCCATAGACATGTAAGATTACCATAATACCTCTGTTGACCAAAAAAACGTAGAAAAACCCAGAAATTCCAATTTTTAAATCATTAGCTCTTTCATCACTGCCTTTTTCACATTGCACTTTTTTCTTGCATTTACCATATACAAGATTAATAAACTTCACCCAGATGCTTTCGCCACCTTGACCTTGTACACATGCTATTTTTTGCTTATAATTACTTGTAAAAAGAAAATCAATAAAATTAGCATTATAGTACTTACATGATATTACACAAAAGGTTATAAAAGGAAAGATGTTAAGAAAGTATTACCAGCAGTGATTTGTTCTCAATAAGGGTAATCCTGCTAAAGTTAGCAAGCTTCATGGTAGTCACCAACCGTTTAATCTGCCAGTCAATGGGCAATGACTTTACTAGCTCAAAGAAATATGTTGCATAACCATATTCAGGGCGCTCCAGAACTATTCTGTAATTGAAGGAGAAAAAAAGTAATGAAAAATCTCTTCAACATCCAAAGAAGAAACAATGAACAAGGAGCAATCTTAACAACTAATTCTATAAAAAACAAAATATACCTGTTGTGTCTTTCAAAAACAAAAATAAAAGATTGGAGGTCCCTGCACCATCCCCATTCAACAGGCCATTTTCTGAACTGTAAATAACGTGTCTATTGATAAAACAGACACAGAAGATGAAAACATTCTGTTGGTAATGGTGAACGAAATGTTAAATAGTTGGAAGTAAAAAGACTGATTGAGCATAATGAACAAATATTTCATGAAATTAATAGAAAGATCAGTGACACTTAATATGGTCAGTTTGAACACATCAACATGTCTGAAGAAACCTCTTGCCTGCTCCACGAGTGATACTAAACAGGCCAAACAATAACTAACTTTGGATCCCCTTGTGCAACGCATTGGAGCAAACTTCAATAGAGAGGAGCGCTCAGAAAAAATCTGAAAGATCCAGAATGTATGAAGATTACCAAAGGCCAAGATATATTACAACAATTAAGTCTAGAACATAAAAAACGCAGATGGTTCACTTGCAGAATGCACCAAGGAACTGAGTGGAAACAGAAAAGGTTCTTACTTTAAATTCACTACATCAAACAAGGAAAATAGGGAAAAAGAAAAAAAGAAAATAGACATTCATATTCACTACCTCAAAATATACAGTTTTAGTGCATTTTGTCTGCCAAAAATGCTTCAACTGAGTGAAAAAATTAGATATTTTATCGGTTATGAAATTACACTTACAATCAAACATATACAAGGATAAAAAAGGAGAAGAATATAGAGTAACAAGAATCCAAATAAAAGAAGTGAGAAATTATTCAGTTCTAGGAAGATGAAGAGAGAATCACACTCCACCCCCAATTTAGAGCAAGTATACAGACAATCTTACTCTGGTAGAAAAGAAACCAAGAGGAGAAAGAAAACTTTGGCTTAGAATCAAAAGCCCAGAAGCAACACCACCACTACATCCAAAACACAAATACTGGATCACATCCTCTGCTCAAGCAACCACAGACACCACACAACAACAACCTACCTTGCATAATGCATATAAAATATCTTTTCCCAAATCTATCCATTTACAAGAGGAAGGGAAGCCAGAACAAAAGAGAATAAATCAAATGCCATAGTATGACTATGAACATGAATTGTATAAAACAAATTAATAGTATCACTATGAACATTAACATGATGGTATAATTTATCATATAATCCTACCCATGAAGAGAATTTCTCCAAAATTATAACAAAAAAAAGAGTTTGGTTGTAAAATGCAAACACAAAAAACACTTGAAAACAAGTTCAATAAGTCAAGATTGCAAGCTGCACATAAGAGTAGGGGTGTCAATTGGATTGGATTTGGTCCAATCTGATCCAGTCCAACATATGGATTGGACCCAATCCAGTCCAAATCTCATACAAATCAAGTCCAAACCGGTCCAATTGAAATACAAATGGACAGGATGGGGTCCAATCCAATTCAAATTGAATGAAACATAAAAAAAAATCTATAAAAAACTACAGAAGTATATTATACAACACAATACAAACACTTAAAAAACAATATAACATATTGAATTGGATGAATATATTATACAACACTAAAAAAACAATATCACATACAAAAAACACAATACAAACACTAAAATATATTATACAACACAACACAATACGAATGGACTGGATGGGGTCCAACCGTCCGGTTTTGGGTTGGACCCCATCCAAATCAAAATCATTTTGGACAGATTGGATGAATCAATACAACATATTGAATTGGACCAGTCAAAACTTAATGGTCCAAAGTATTTATTGGATTGGATTGGACATGGTCAATCGGTAATGAATTTATATTGGACTGGACCGGATTGAACCAATATCTTGTCCATTGATAGAAGAAAGAATGCAGGTGTCAATGGACCAAGTTTGGGTTGGAACTGATCTAAATTAAAAATCAATTTGAACAGATTGGACAGTTCAGACATTGATTTGGACCAATCCAAAATGGTCCAAAATGACTCATATCGGACCAGATCGGGTTGGACCAAATCAGATCCAATTGACACTATTAACAAATAATAGAAAATACACAAAATAAGAGAGATCAGTACAGAAATAAGAGCATTCAAATTGGAGAGATTCAAAATTCAAAATCAATGTTGAGCTATCAACTGTACGATTGGAATCCAAGTTGATGATTCATGCTTGTTGAGATGCAAGGCAGTCTTGGTGTCAGGTGGATGGATCCCAATAGAGCTGTAAGTTGGGTCGTGCCGGCACGACATGGGCCATGTTGGGCCCAGCCTGTCATCGTAGCACACGGGTTGTATCGTGCACAACCCAGAGGTATGGGTCGTGTCGTGCTTGGGTTTTCAGGCCCATAGGCCAGAGCGGCATGACATGACAAAGCAGACCGTGTTGGCACGGGCATGCGGCCTGACATGCCCCCCCCCCCACACACACATATTATACTATTTATTCCGATTGTATTGTAATTTTTTAATCATATTTTATTATTTCATATATAAACAATTGTATACATCAAAATTCATATAAAATAAAAATTTAAGATTCTTTTCAAATTTTTGTCTATTTTGTTAATTTATCTTATAATTTCACTATTTTTTTTTTATTATTTTAATGCCTCTCATGGCTTGGCCCAAGGCTCAGCCCGCAGCCTAACCCAACCCCCAACCCAGCCCACCTAGGCTCGTGCCATGGGTCTCTAAACTTTTATATTGAATTAAATAAAAGTAATGATGAAGTTGGTATTGAGAGAGAGAGAGAGAGAGAGAGAGCTGGAGGAACAGGGGAGAATCGAGGCGAGGTAAGGTGGGATTTGGACGGACCATTGGAAATATGGATTATGTCCACTCCAATCCAAAATACTCATTGGACATTTGATTCTGGACCAGCTCATTCCCATATGTTTTGTTGGACCGTCCAACCCATCCAAATGGGATTTGAATCGGATGGGGTCCAATCCAATCCTGGTCCATTGACACCCTTATATACAAGTTCCCTACATTCTTTTACCCTACAACATGCACAGGAATGTAGTTGAACCAAGCCAAGTTCAGATGACAGCAAGCCGGCTCAGCCAAAACTGGTCAAAAGCAGGAATAGAGAAAATTTATTGAGTTTATATAAGGCCGAAGAGAGCTGAGCTTCAAATGCCCAAAATCATTTTTCAAGTGCTTAACTCAATATACCTCAAATGTTCTCTAAAAATAGACCAATGTATATTTGAATATATGACTAATCTTTAGAACCAGCCACCTGGCTAATTTGAAGTGATTATACATTTCTTTTGGAGGGTTAATTATGAAGAATAACTTTTCTAATCAGTAGATTATAGTAGAAGATAAAGAAAAATATAGGAAAAACATAAACACATTGACAAAAGATAGCATAGATGCCTGGAAAAGAGATGCCAAAGTAACAAAACAATTGTGCTGAACCTTAGAAATCACAGCTTCAAGCTCCACAAAGCTGTCTTCACTCAGTGAATCATCCAAGGCATCTTCCTCGTCCATGTTCCCATACAGCTTAATTTCATCAACCGTTACCCCTCTGTCAACTAACACCTGTTCAGACAACAATATCTATCAGTCTCATTCCAATATTGTATCAGAAAAAATAAATACCTGCTGTAATAATATTCAGCCTCTAGAGTGAGAAGTGTGCAGAAGCCCCCTCCCCCGATGGTTAAAAATGTCCACAACTCCACATGTTTCTTAATATTTCCATGACATATATCCATTTCCATGGGTACTAACATTAAACATTACTGGATAGCCATTATCCCCAGTGAAAATCATTGGCATTTCAGTACATGAGATTGTACTATAACATAGGTTGGAAACAATATTGTAGACATGTGGAGTAGCAGCACAATTGCCCACCTGATGACATAATTACCACTTTGAGCCAACTCAAAATTTCTTTTCAGACATGAAGTAAAATCTTAATTTTTTTTTATTGAATAGATTATTTGGTTGATCACTTGATCTATTAGAATCATTTTCACTTCCTCCAAAATAGCCACACACCATTCTTGATAAACCCATTTCCTCCGCACAAGAAAGAGAGAGAAAGAGGTCACCCAACACACACACACACACACACCCCACCACCAGTATAGCATCTCTCACACCCCATCCTTGCTTCCCTCCTTTCTCTCTTCGTTTTCTACTCTCTGCACCCTCTTAAGCCCTGGGTTTACATTGATGCTACAACATAGTAGTTTCTACCCTTTTAGACATGAGAACACTCCCCCTCTCTCTCCCCCTTGCTTACTTCCTTTCTCTCTTCGTAGCCCTTGCACCCTCATAACCCTAGGTTTACACTGCTTGGACCTAGGAGATGTTCCAAATTGCCATTGACACTACAACATAGTAGTTTCCACCCTTTCAAACATGAGAAAACCTCCCTCCTCATTCACTTGAAAGTGACATCTAGAAGCACTTTAAGCTCCCATTTTCACTATTTCTTGCATCTTATATAACATTGTGGGTGTTCATTTGAGCCATGACAGCAAGGGGAGGTTGTAGGAATGCTTTGGAGCCCACCCCCCTTCAATTCTTTGGTATGGTTTGGGGTCTGATAGGTTTCGAAGGGGGGAGGGGGTAAGCACCATATCCCTGACGACTCCAAACTGAAAACAGAGTTGGAGTGGGATGGTGGGTAGGAGACCTCACTCCTATGCTTGAGCTCATTCTTATTGTCCTTCTTGATTAGATTAATATTACATACTACTGCATTATCACCATCTTGAATGCATGTTTTTCTTTGCAAGGGAAGCTCAAAAACATTGGGGGTTCAATATGTACGAGAGAGGGGTGCTCGATCCCTTCCCTCTCTCAATGTAGAACCAACCAAGAAAACGGAGTTACCATTGAATGATTTTTTTTCAAAGGGAAATTTAGAAAATCTTTGTATTCCAAAACGGAGTGGCGAGGCGTGGAGGAAGGTCTTTTATTGGTCTCCCACTGTGCTTCTTTTTAACATTTCATAAAATATATTCTATATTTCTGCATATTTTACAATACTTCACTCTGCCTATTATTTTTACAATATTTCCATCCAATATTTCTAGCATGTTTCTTACATTTGGATGAACAATACTTCCACCAATACCAACATTTCACCTGTTAGACAGTGTATGCCCTTAGCTCCAATCAGCATGATGTACATTATGACATTTATTGTAAATGAATAAAGTACATATTTGGTTCATGTTATTATGGTGTGACACTGATGTACCACCAAGTTGGTTGGGGTGGTTTGTCTCAGCTGCCAGGGTGAGACCTGAGGTACATGCAGTGTGGGTTTTCTTGAAATCTTGAACCAGACCAAAATTCCAATATTACCTTGGACCTTGGAGATAGATGGGCAAAACTAAAATGTTACACCTAACCCCTAGACTCGATTATGATACTGCACTAGGTGTCGGATTGGGCTGTTTTTGATATACCAATCAGTGAGATCCTTAGAGGGGGTCAAAACCTGGGTAAGTTGGGACAATCTGAGAATTCATCTGAGTGGGTGATCATAGTGACAGGATCAGCCCCTTTGTCGGACAAAGTGAATGATCGGGGATGCACTCTCTCTGATGGAAACCTAAACTGCTGGCAGTTGATTTCAATCGTTGAAATTTGTTTTTGCAATATATATATATATATATATATATA